GACTTCTGTAGTTAGTTATGAGTCTTTGAAGCATGCTCACAAAGGTTCTTTTGTTGATATCATTTTCATACTGGTCAAAACTTTTTTTTTTGCTTTGACCAGCTTTGGAGGAGATATTTTCAAAGAATTAATAAAAAATAACACAGAAATTCACTTTCTAGCTCATCTAGCCCCAAATATCATGTCAGGCATTGTCATTACTAAAAAACATTAAATGTCTTCTAAACTGAGAAACAATTTCCACATTTAACCGAAATCTTTTACTTATGATACTGACAATCCCCCACAAAGTAATATAAATAGAACCATACAAATAGTAAGCAAATACGTGTTCTCAGATACCATCTCCCATATAAAAAAATCACATTAAGAAAAAAATGAACCTATTATGTGTTCCTCTCCTAGCTACAAAATGTATCCAAAATCAAAGATGTGGAACATATATATTCTATCATGATCATTTGGTAATTAATGCAATTAGTATCTCTTCCATGCCCGTGTTAAACATAAAAAACTAAGTATCACATAAACAACACCCCTAATGCTCATGTTGGTTGTCATTGTGCAACACAGTTAATACATAAAAAACATAAAACATAGAACTCCTTTTGTCATATAAAACACTGTCAAACATCCAATCCTACTATCCACACTGATCTGTGTCCACACTTGTATGAAACAATAAATATATATATTTTTTTTCCAAATTCTATATATTTGCCACTGGATGTTAAGTAACCAACAATCAATCAATCCAAATTCTTTATAGGATAAGACACGTTTCTTTTGAGGTTATTAATATGTAAACTTGGTCCGATTATCTCACACACTTAATAAAAGTACAAAGGACTTTTATGTAAAAGTTTATTAGTCAGCGGCTAAATCGACATAGTGCACGAGGTAAACTTGACCGCCAACAGTTCAATTCCGGAAGGGTCAATATACAATATTGAAACCATAGCTTATTTATGAATACATTTGATATACAAAAATGTATCGTACATTTTATATACAAAAATGTATCGTACACGATGTATATATGCTAAGTCATCAATGTAAATTGTTAAATATCAATTTCAACTCCAGCTGTAATTACTGTTTTAAAAACGCACGTAGGTTGACAATCTAAAAGCACAGAACTGCCATAAAAATGCTTTTAATATGTAGACAAATAATTTTGTATATGTATTGATAGTGTTCGTCTTCAGAATATAGCCCATATGCCCATTTCATTGTAATTGTAATGATTGTTCTTCTAAAATAACCATCTTTATAACTTGTTTACTGTTAGTCAATTTTTATCTGTGCGTTTGGTACGATAATGTGTCGTTCGTTGGAAAAAAATTTTGAATGTAGTTTTTAAAAGTTGTGCAATTTTAACTGATATTTGCACTATCGTTTCAATTATGACATCAGTTACAAAACTGAAATGCATCACTTTAAAGTTTTGATATATAATAATAAGGTTATTTCACGAAAAATTGATGCATATCGATTGTCCCCGAAGAATCAAATTGGCGTAAAAGTAAGCATTTAATGCTGAAAGAACAAACTTTGACAAAAATTATTTGTACGTTATTTACATTACATAAACACATTTATGTATTTTAACAACATAAAATGCTTACTTTACGGCACTTCGTTTTTGAAGGCAAGTATTTTGACTCTGTAGTTATCAACCTCGATTCTATATGCAGCAATGTCCATAATTTAAAACTGTACGGCGGATTTACCCCATGTAGTGTTTACGTATGTAACGAACGTCTACCGTACTGTATACCAAGTGAAAACATTCCGACGGACCAATCACCATTCAAGTATTTGTAGATATGCAAACCACATATAAGAATAATAGAAAACTGAATTAAGTGTTGACCACGTCATTGGAAAAGTAACACACACGTCAGCTTTGCCAAACTAACAGTCGAGAAAACTATTACTTTTTCCAGAATAGTCGAAAACACAATCAACCGGAACGAACATCGATGAACCATAGTAACGACTGTCGGGGTGTAACAGTTTGGGTTTTCCAATGGTGAAGACCTTACGACTTAGGGAGATAAACCAGAACAGACTGTTTTACCGTACATTTGGTGGACTTAAGTCTTTGTCGTCGGGGTCGCTTAATACCAAAACATAATCATAATCTTGGATTCAGTTTTCACATGTGTCTTTTTTCTCTAGCTGTTATTAATTTACACTGAAACAGTCAAGACACTTTGACCTTAATTGTCAACCCTTTTCAAGGTCAAAAACGAATTACTCGATCAGAACTCTGTTTGCCTTTTCAGTTTCGTATTTTATTATGAAAAAAATAGTTCTTCAAATCCCCCAAAATATGTTATTAATACTTATTACCTATAACAGCAAGAAATTTGGAGTTAACCGATTGTTAATTTTAGAAAGGAAATCGTTTATCTGTTTTTTTTTTCGAATTTCTCATTCATTGCATTTTCTATTATGTTTGGAGGTCATGGTTACCCATACATTTTGCAAACTAATATGTAACAAATTTATTATGTTTAACTTTTAACGGATTTATATAAAAACGAACAACAGCTGTGAACAAGATGTCCATTCGAATGTAATAATTTAATCGCTCTGCATATATGTATTCAATGTCCGTATTCTTGAAATAATGTTCTTATTATTGGTGCATTAAACGTTTTTAAAATTTTACTAGTATATGTTAATTCAGGAGTACTTTGCGACTTCCTTAATAACGACATAAATTTTGAAAAAAATACCAAAAACAAATCTTAGCATTAGTTAACCATGATGGTGCATATATATACATGTATATATCTCCTTCAACAATTTTCAAATTGCCTATGCTGAGATGTTTCAATGTCATATTTAATGAACTAGTGGATTAAGTTTTTATATTTACATTATTTGTTATGGTGTAAATGTTGTACATTAGATATAACACATTCAAGATCTATATTGTATGTGCTTTGCCCAATAAAATATTTGAATATATATATAAAAATATTAATATTTCATTTGCTCTTTCATTAAGATATCATCCGTATCTTTATTTGAAATTTAAGCGAGGAGTATAAAAGTTTCAGAATGAAGAGTGCTGTCATTGCAGTTTTTCGAATTTACAGATGATAGAAGGTATTTAGTTATGGTTAATGTAGTTCTGACCGAAAGTCTGCAGGTGGGGGACGGATATACTATACTTATACTTTCACAAAGCAGTGTCACGAGTGTGATTACAGGTTACTTACATGTAGTATATTAAGAACGGAACCTACGTCACTAAAACGTACGTTATAGGTATGCAGTCTATTTTTGGTGTAAGGTTGTTAAAACTAACACAGATTATTCCTTACAATCATTAAACGCATATGGTATCTAAGACCTTTACTCGGAATTTAAACTTGATATACAGTCAGTGAAACGTGAAATGTAGATCATATTGACCTGCTTTTGGTGGTTGGCTATTACACTCCCCTAGATGCATGTTACACAACGTAATATGATTGTGTTGTTTTTCTTCTTCTTGAAACTTTGAAAACAAAAATTTAGTACATAAAAGCCAGTGAACTGAAATGATGAAAATAGTAGTAATTTTTATACAGAAATTTTAAACTTGAACTTCACTTAATGTACCATGTTTAAAATTCCTACAGAAAACTAGGATTTCCTCTTAGAATGTAAGATAAACAAGAAAGTAAGAATATATTTATTTAAATTCGATAGGGAAGATGAATCAAGTTATGTCACTCTCCAAAATTTGTAACATTATAAAATCATTTATTAAGCTATATATCAAAATAACCAGTGAAACTGCTCAGTTCCTTTTTCAAGTAGTCATTTGAAATGAGGACAGAAGCAACTTTTTCATATATATATATATCAGTCATTTATTGTCACATATTCAAGGTTGGATTAAGGAGGGTGCATACACTGCACACCTTCTAGTCAGAAAAATATATTTTTTGACTTAAAAACATAATTATAAGGTACCCCCTCCCAAAATAAAAAAAATAAAACACCTAAAATCTGGATATTTGATATTTTTTGTTGAACACATTAAGACCTAGATTTAGGGTCTGTAGATATAGGAAGATGAGGTATGAGTGCCAATGAGACAACTCTCCATCCAAGTTACAATTTATAAAAGTAAACCATTATAGGTACGGCCTTCAACACGGATTTGGCTCACACCGAACAGCAAGCTAACATGGTATGGAGGCTTATCCACCACGGAAAGCTTATTTTACCACCACAATTATCTATGATATTTGGTGAGGTTGGAATGCTGGCTTATTAAAGGTTATGGTATTTCTCCTTACATTTCGGAACATGACATACCCTTAGGTTGCCAAAATAGAAACCTTTGAAATAAGCAGAGTTTTACACCTTCCAATAAAAAAAACCCAAGCTGGTGTAAAAAGAATTGTAATAACAACTCTTGAAATTTTGGTATGTTGATCAGTAAATAGCTCCAAATACCTTTGATACTTAAAAATTTCTATTTTCTTAGGTTTTAGAAGTACAGATGTCAATTTATTTATTACTCTTATACTTTCTAATTATGTTTGTAAACTCTAGACAAATTAAATCAAGCCATATGGTAACAGCTCCTCGACAATTGTTTCTAGAATTGCCCCAATTGATAATACTAGTATCTGACTTATCAAAATTAAATTATTAGTGTGTTCATAATGCCAATCTGCAAATATGACAGGATTGTTCAGGAAGAAAACGCTTATCTCATCATATGAGTCAGTAATTTCACACACAGCTTAAATGTTAAGTAGACAAGTAACCCTTCCTGGATCCATCATTCTGACTACTAGACAACAAGTGTTTGGCCTTACTTCTAAATGCAGAATGTTTGGCAGAAATGCAGATAATAATAATAAAAGTTGGGTTTGACTTTGCTTGGGATCAAACCTGCCTCAAACCACTCTTGAGATGGGTATGTTACCAAAAAAAGTGCTGTAGAACAAAGATTTTCTTGAGAAAAAACAACAACATATATATATAAAGTAAAACTGATCTCTGGATGTTAATTTAATGTAAATCTCAAAATTCATACAAATGAAAATTTTAAGTCATTCTTTGAATTCAGTAATATGTTCTAAAACATTTCAAGACTAAACTTAAGATATAACTTGAAGTGTCCTGGAAAAGTAAAGAACAAAAACAACTTTAAATAGAAAATTCAAATTAGCATAAACAGTTGTAATACTGTTACTTAATACCTGTTTAAACAAATAAGTTTTATCATTCTTATAAAATAACAACCTCTATACATTTTATATAAAAGCAACGGAAAAGTACAATAAAATATAAAATATACAGTGATAAAAATATATTCTTAATATATTCATATTGCAAACAAATAAACAAATAATACTGTGCATGGAAGATAAAACAGCAGATTAACTAAAACTATCACAGCTTTTAAAATACTGTCCATAAAATACTATGGAACAAATAAGATTCTTTGTACATCTCCGGGAAAATAACATGATTAAAATACATTATACAAAAATAAAACATACAAAATACTGATATTTAATTCATAACCAGTTACAAAGGGGTGAATAGTCCATTTCACAATGCCACATTAAAGGGGAAATGAAAAATTATATCACATTGTCCGTTAAGAGGTGAGATTTAAGTAAAAATAAATACGGTACAAATTAAAACATCAGATAAGACAGGAAGACATTCTTTTTTTATATTTTCCACACAAAATGGAAAGAAAAACAGCATATTATGATGTTAGCAGATTAATTCCTGGTTTTCTGAATTTTCCCCAATACAAATGATCCCTGAAGCAGACTTTTTTACAGATGTGACAGGTACCATTGTAAAAGTAATGGTGAAACTTTTTTTTCCCTCCTGAAACAATGCTTATATCCAATTATTAACCACACGACTAAATAAGCACAAGCAATTAACATAAATTCCTGTTAGGATTTGAACAAAGAGCAAACTAATCTACATATGATTAACAAGTCCAGGCAGTAGCTGTCATTGTTAAACTCTAAACTTATGTGTGGCAGTGATTATATAACTTGTAAAATCTAAGAAAATCCTGTTTTATACCATTGTTTTCTCCTAGACAAAATCTTTCCCATTATTGATAGTACAGTACATTTCTTTTTATTAGATTTCAATAAAAAATTTGTTCCAGGATTAGATCTTTATTGCCATGAAAATATAATGGTAATAACAAATGCAAATTTCTCATTATTTGAATGTAAATATTTATAAATTTTCATCAATTACAAATCAATAATTTTATCAAATTAATTTTGCAGTATAGAAAATTATTCAATTCTGCAATTGACACAAATGCAAGAAAAGCACCCTTTTCTATTCCTTTTAAAAGTTCGTATTATATATTAACAAAGCACTTGAAAATCTACTGGTTAAAACCTTCTCCAAGTCTTCAGAAAACTAAATTTTCTATGCAGCTGTCTTGTTTTTCTGAAAATAAATAAATTTAGTTACAATTAAGTATTTCTTTTTACTTCTTGTTGAAGGGATTGAGTATCAAACTTTATTTATTATAGCCATGTGTGTGTGTGCACTCTAATACTGATTTGAAATACTACAATAAAAATCAGAAAAGTGATTTAATACAGAAAAAATAATTGAGCATATATAAAAATATAAACATATATGAAGGTAAAAAGAACAAAACAATGAAATAAAAACAAGTCACAAGTTTACATAATACTGAATGGTTTATAATACACAAAAGTAATCACACAACAAATATTTTATGAATCAAATAGGTGTCAATTTTCCTTATATCATTGAGAGCTTCCAAATATTTGTATTTTGGCCCTCTGAAAACTTCAAGTGTGGAGCCCTTCTTCTTTCAAAGGTTTGAACAGTTGTCACCTATGGAACCAACAAATAAAGTTATAGAAAAACAAATAACATTAGATGTTATTACAAAAGGAAATAATATAAAAAAAAACACCACCATATTTCATTGAATTTATAAATAAATGAAGTACATGTATAAAGAATTAGTTTCTCTAATAACATTATTCAATAGTACTTTTGTTGCAGTAAAAGTGTTTGTTTAAAGCATACCACAAAACCATTTATTGTTTTATGGGTATCCAACAAGAATACTTTTTTTATGCTAGAAAATTGAATGGGATTTAGGTTATCTCCCCTGCATTTTTAAAATGTAATCTTTCAAGTCTCAAAAGGATGCAATACCAAATACCATAAACTGTTGACACAGAGATATGTTTTGCCTGTAGGCATAAAATTCAGAAAAAGACAATCTGATGGACAGCAACAAGGTTTATTAATTCAGTCGCAAAAGTAGTTCTTATCAAACTGACTTAAGCAGAAAACATAACATTGAAAATTGCTAATTAATTCAAAGTCACTGGACCATGACCTATGGGCAGGGCCTTAAAAATAGTCATCAAACTGATATGTACAGATGATAATGCAATTTTATATTTAAAATCAATGGTCTATCAAGAGTAGTTTCTATCAAACTAACTTAAGCAGAAAATCTAATAATTGTTGATGCTGTCGCCGGAAAAGCAATCCCTATGGCTCGCTTTACGCGCAGGCTAGACAAAAATGGTACTATTAGCCATTATATAATTCTAAAATATATTTTTCTAGCATTAATGCCCTTAGGAGAAAGATACTATTGCAGAGATGTCGTGTTAGTCCAATATGTTGTTCCTAAGGTTGATTTTCTTCAGATTCGGCTTATTGATGTCATAGTTGGATAATGTGTAAGAAAAAAAATAAACCTTTCAATCTGAAGGTTAGGCACATATGAGTAGGACCCATTAGAAACATCAACATTTCTAGTTGCCTGCCAAAAAAGAATACTGGAGAGGATATTAAACTTTAAAACTTGTATCAAATGTCAACAAAAAGGGCTTGTAGAGTAATTACAACTTTTTGCATATCACAAAGCACAAAATTTTTGTTTTCTAACTAAAAACAAGACCCTTCTCTTTGTTGTGCATGAAACAAATGTGAGTCTTTTTAAATTTTCTTGTGACAAACAAAAACAGTTTTGTTTTTTTATACATTTTTTCCCCAGCTTTTATCTTCTTTCTTAATACCATAATAACAAGTTTAAATACATCAATCATACTTTTAAACTGGTATACTGTTTTTGTTTGCCTGAAAATGTAGAAACCATTATTTGGAAAATATTTATGAGGAACAAATAAATCAAATCAAAGAAATATTCAAAATAGGAAATGTAAAAATAAACAGGTTTTCATGGTAAACTCAAAAGGATAAAACAGCGAAATAAATTAGAAACTAATAAAACAAGGTTATGAATAGGACTTGGAATTTTTTTAAATTACTGCAACAACAGGGTGGATTTCACACTCTTTATAACACGATCACACAAACTAAATTGTCTAATCAAATAACTTAACACCAACACACAGAATTACTAAGATATTCTTGTACACAACTAATAAAAAAACAAAACTGTAAACATTCATTCTGGAAGTAATGTTTTCTTTTTTCTTCATTCTTTGAAAGATGACAAACATAAAAAAAAGAAGTAAGAAAGTTTTGCTTCACCAAATTTGAGTTAATTATTAATTCTGAATATTTGTCAAACAGCTCAATGAGATGCTGCTTGACTGGTTGTACATATTTAATTGCTTCAAATGAATGAACAAATATTTGGCAAACGTTTTAATTTTTGAATTCACTAGTAATGACGATTAGCTAAAAAATGCAAGTTGTGTGAAAAATGTGTGTACATTATTTGCTTCTTTAAATTCACTTTCAAATCATGATGTGGTATAATGGATTTTACATGATAAACACATAATGTGACATATTATTGATTGTTTACAATTATGTCACAAAAATGTAACAACAATTAAACATAAAACAGTGTGGAGTGTTGACAAGCAGTGGGTTGGTTGGTGCAGGTTATATTACTGTAACAGCTCGCTGGGACACGAAATCTGCTCTAGGGTTATAGTTCATCTGAGTTTTTGTCCTTTTCATGTAGCTTTCTGGTTTTTCAGGTGTTACAAGGAAGACCCTGTCCTCTAATCTGACATCCTTGGCTCTTACTCTTTCTCTGTAAATGAAATATTGGCATTTATTCCAAGAAAGTTAGCAAATTCAAAGCAAAACAATTGAAATTCGTGTCCCTTGATTTCTTTAATCCTTTAATCATCAAAATATAATCAGAATTATGAAGTGTGCTCATTACTGAACTATGCAAGCTGTGAAAACTTTTTCAGCAAGTGTTTTGTGACTTTTAATTTATTCAGGTTCATATTGGTTAAATTTGTTTTTCTCTAATAATAGGTGTTTAGTTATACACTACAAAATCATTGATGTACTACGTAAACAACACAAAACAGTGAACAAAATAAACAACTAGAAATGAATACATCTTTATTATTAACAACAATATAAATTATAATAATGAATATCAATTTAATTTAAACAAACAAACATTAATCTTGAAGGGATCACAAAATGAATATGATTCCCGGATTTTCCATTGATTTTACCAACCGTCAGTTACTGTCTGCTGCAAAAAAAAATGCCCAAATTTTGACAGATTTATGTGAGGTTCAATACTGAATCCTTAGATTTTATAGCTGAGAAGGGCATCTGACTTATAGTCGGATGGACTTTTACTCAAGTACCAACGGTAATCAAAAGCAATCTCAGTTTTTAATTTTATATCAGGGATAGTATAATATAAAAATAAGGAGATGTGGTATGATTGCCAATGAGAAAACTATCCACCAAAGTTCAAATAAAGTGAATGTAAGCAATTATAGGCAACTGTACGGCTTTCAACAATGAGAAAAACCCATACCGTTTAGTTGGCTATAAAAGGCCCTGACATGAAAAATATGAAACAATTCAATTGAGAAAACTAACGGCCTTATTTATAACAAAACAATTTACAAAAAACAAACATGACAACCACTGAACTACAGGCTCCTGACTTGGGACAGGCACATAAAGAATGTGGCGGGGTTAAACATAAAATTACACTTCTCTAAAAGTTTAAGAGAAGCAAAATAAGGGATAATTCAATCTGTAATGTTAATTGATGCATGCCATTTTAATATTTGCTTCAGTTCTTAAGGAAATCCACAGATAGGTTGAAATGTTTTTATGGCCTTTTAATTCATTGAGCTTTGTGAACATCAAATTCACACAAAAGCGTTCATGAAATGTTTTTAATAATTAAATACAAATATTTCTAAATATTCAAACTTGTGATACTTACTGAAGGAATTTATCCATAGCTAGAGACAATTTTCCTGTTTTTGATTTGAAAACACTTTCAGTGCCATTACGATGCTGTGCTTCATCAAACTTCTGTACATCATAACGACCTGGACCCACAGGGTTCTGAAATCATAGAAAGACAAAAGTATATATCAAGAAATAATTATTATACACTGACAATTCTTACAAATTGGGTTTTAAAAAAATATCAGCAAGCCAGACATTTTTTTCGATTTTGTTTTTTATCTCTTGAATTTGTATATAAAGGCATTCAAGCCAATCAAGGTAGCCACTCGTAGATTAGGAACAAGAAATTTGGTCATAACACAATAAAATGATCAACTTGTGATATGGGTTCTGTTAACTGACTTCATCTTTTGAACTGTGGAACATAAGCAGACTCAAGTTGTTGCTATACACTTCACTTAATACTGCAATAACACGCTGCTAAGAGAGCTTACCTATGTTAAAACAAGAGTTCAGATGGATCCTGCCAAACAGACATGTACAACTTACAACCAAATATAGTTAACCTATTGCTTATGGTATCCGAGAAACAGACCTAATTATGAAAATTGTAAAGTGACCAATGAACCATTAAAATGAGGTCACGGTCAGATGAACCATGCCAGACAACATGTACACCATGCTATCATTCCATACACCAACTATAGTTAACCTATTGCTTACAATATCTGAATAAAAAATAACCTTGAAAACTTTACATTGACTAATGAACCATGAAAATGAGGTAAAGATAAAATGAACACTGCGAGACAGACATGTACACCTTACAATCATTCCATACATTAAATATAGTTAGCCTATTGCTTATAGAATTTGATATACAGACAAAACCATGAAAACTTAACATTGACTAATGAACCATGAAAATGAGGTCAAGGTCAGATGAATCCTGCCAGACAGACAAATATACTTTGCAATTATTCTATTCACCAAATATAACTGACCTATTCCTTATAGTATCTGAAAAATAGACCAAATCAGAAAAAAATAACATTGACCAATGAACAATGAAAATGAGGTCAAGGTCAGATGAAACCTGCAAGTCAAACATGTTACAATCATTCCAGACACCAAATATAGTGGATCTGTTGTTTACAGAGATACGGACTTGACCAAGGCAGGGTTCTCACTAAGGATTTTTTGGCTTTTTCTTTAAGAAGAAGATATTTTATTGCTGAGCAATGAAATGACATTAAATTCAGATTACTTTGAAACTTTTGCTATAAGATGATGATATGTGTGTTCAGTTTATACAAAATATTTCAATCTCTATGCATCTTTGGACTCACCAGTTTTGAAAATGGTGAGTCCAGACAGATTTTCATGAGTCCAGGACTCATGGACTCGCCTTAGTGAGAACCCTGCAAGTAAACTTAACCTTGATCACTGATCCATGTAATGAGGTCGAGGTCAAGTGAATACTGTCTGATGGAAATGTAGACCTTGCAAGGAACCCCATATACCATGTATACCATATATAGTTATCCTTTAACTCATAATTCACATTACAAAAAAACACATATTTTTCTTTTTAAGCAGTCGCTAAACCATAAAAATGAGGTCAATTGACATATGCCACACAGAAACTTCCTTACATAAGGCATCTGCATACAAGGTATGAAGGATCCAGGTCTTCTACCGTCTGAAATATAAAGCTTTAAACAAATAGTTTGTAGCTGGAGAGACAAAAAACCAACACAATTCTTCTATGTCATGTGGGCATATAAAACAAATCATGGACATGTACTTACAAAGTTTCTTGTAAAGAATTTCTGTGAAAGTTTATCATTTCTTTTAGATGTAGATAAAAATCCTGGAGCATTAACTGATTCTGGTTTAGATAGTTCACCAGGCTCATAACGACCTGGACCTGGAGTATTCTGAAAAGAAAAAAAAGGTCTATACCATTGAATCACATCTTAAACATTCTATTTCCTGTAAAACGAAGGTAAATAAAAACAATTGACTTATGAAAAAGAGTCATTTTTGAAAGTAGTTAAATGGTTCTGTGATTTTTTATGATCTATTTTCCATGCATGTGGTTTTCAACAAAATTGAAACAATCTCTTTGTTTTCATTTCAATGAATGTTCAATATACTAATAAAACAAACTAGTTTACAAACATTTATTTCAGAGCATACTCTTTACGGAAAAATGACAAACTTCTTAAATGTCAGCCAATGAATCTCATTCTTAACAAGTCAAGATCAAAACCTCATCAACTAAAACATGCTTATTTTTTACCTCCTCTTTAGGACATTGCTGAAGGGTACTACAAAATATCCTTTCTGTTGGAATTTTTGGAGTTCTGTCAACTTTACCGAATTTGCCATGTCTCTTTCTGTGTATTGTTCCCCAATCATCAGCAAAAGATCTGAGGTTGTATTGGCCGGGACCAAGATTGGCTAATTTCTAAATAATTAAAAAAATATTCATATACAGCTTCATTTAATTCACTTCATTTATTTTATCCTCTGTTTACTAAATATCTTGACAAAGGTCTTTTAGGTCAAAATATTGGACTGCCATAATATTCTTTTTGATTTTATTCTTTTGTGTGTGCTAAAGTTTACTTTTCAAAAGTTTTAATTTCAATTAGCATTGTACCATTGTCTTTTTCCTTATTTTTTAAATCCATTCTATACAATGCCCTTATATAAGATAACTCATCATTTTACTTTTTTCAGAAAAAAGATTCTTATGTATGTCACATATATTCTTCATCACTTTTTTTTTTCTTGAAAATTCCTGTCGTAAATTGAGATATTTTGGCTGTAGTCATATATTGGTTTATTTGGTGCCGAAGAAGAAAATGCTAAAATAAAATATCAACTAAAAAAATTAAAAGTAAAATTTTCCAAAATCATATTAGATAATGTTAGTACCGGTATATATGATGAAATTTGATGAGAAAAAATTATTGCATAGATTACAAAATAGATCAAACATCAAATAGTGTAACAGCTTTAATTAATGGCAATCTTGATTGATAACCAAATCAAAATGACAAAACAACTCTTTAAATTTTTTGGTAAACAGCCAAAATAATCCCTACGGTATTGTATACTTCAAATTAAAAATCTTTAGCATTATTTTTCCCCATTGAACAATTTATTCATTTTAATGTCAGCAATGAAAAATTGACTAGTTTAAAAAAAAAATTTTGTCCTTTCTACATGTAGCAAAGGAAAATACACCATATTAATAAAATAATACAAGATTTGGTATTATGCAAACAAGATAAGAAAGTGAACATTTTGCATTAAAGGCTTGTTTATGTCACCTAAATAAACAGTCTAATAATGTTAACAAAGTAGGCCAAAGTTCAGAAATTACAGTTTGTTTTGACAAAATAGACATTCACTTCAGAATTTTTAATACATACCGGTGCAGCAAAATGTCCATCTGAAATTGGTTTGTTTCTATCTCCAGAAAACAGATCATATGGTCCTCGTAAGCTGGTCACCTTTCCAGTTGTCTGATCAGCAAAACTTTTAAACTCATAGGTACCAGGACCAAGTTGTGAACCCTATAATAATAGTTCTATATAATAAAAAAAAACCAAACAATTTACATAATAAAATTGATATACAGTGGATTCATTATTATTCATGGGGAATTTTTGTTGATTTCACAGAATAAAGGAAAACCATTAATTTAAATGTTTAATGTAGTATTAATTGTCTATGGCTTGTATACAAATTTTTGCAAAACCAGGAAATTCAATATGCACGAAAATTCAATTTTTCCTCCATCAACGAAAATTGGTATCCACGAAATAAATGAATTCACAGTACTGCTTCTCACCCAAGTTTAAGTCTTTCACAGGTTAAAAAAAAAAAAAAAAAAAAAAATGACTATTAGAACCCTTCTTCTACTTTGTTAACTCAAAACAAAAAACGGTTAACTGTAAATAAACTCCCCCACAAAGGTAAGTTGTAATTAACATTGGAATAATTGCTTTAACAGCCCATTCAGAGATTCTACTTTACAGGTTTGTATCTGTTTGAATCTTAAACTTACTACAGTTGGTAGGTTTCTTTTGGATGAAGACTTAGCATCTAACATTCCTATTGTGCTGGTTGATTTTTGCTCTTTATCTTCTTTGGCAGCATGTGGGATACCACCATCACCATACGTTCCTGGGCCTGGTGTGTCAATCTAGTAAAAGTAAAAATTGGATATATTTCACAAAAGTATTGATGTTTTCTTCTTGGTGCATGAACAAGGCCAGTTGTTTTATCCGGGTTTTGTTCATATATGCAACATGCATGCATAACTTGCAGCTCTTTCATTTTACATTTCGATCTGAAAAATTCCAACTTTTACCCTTTTTTCAAATATGCACATCTAAATTCAAATAAACATTAACCAAAAGTTATACTTACAACAGTTTTTTCTCTGAATCTTTGTGAGAGAGTTTGGCATATTCCAAATTTACTTCTTGGTTTTTCATCTGATGCCTCAACAAAATCTTTAATATCATATGAACCTGGACCCAGTTTCCTCACCTATTTTGTACAAAAGATAACAAATTTGTATCATTCCTAAAGGTTTGAAAAATACTAACATCCGTCATTCATAGTCTCTTCGTTATTGCATACAATCAAAACAATGGCAAAATAACAATATGATAGTATGCATCCTACATGTACATCTATAGATGCTGCATAGGGGCAAGGGGTTTAAACAAGTTTGGAGTCTTAAAGGGAAATCACACTATTGTTTATACGCATCGCTCTCGGCGCCGCTATAGTGTCGTGACCGTATTATGACGTCGCCGTTTCGAGTCCGTCGTAAAGGTTGCTAATTTCTAAAATGGCGGCCTGCTCAAAGGGACGTTCACTATTAAAGCAAGAGAAAGCAAATGACGTGTTGATTCAAGTGCAAAAAATGAAAATGCTACTCGAAATGGACAAAATGTATGGCAAAAAAATAGCCGAAAGTGGTCTTGATATGGTCTTGAATTACCTTACGATTGGGTTTAATTCAAATGAGTTACTCTCTTTAAATAAAGATATTATTATCATTATTATTATTATTGACTCAGAGTTAGTATTTACATACAATACCATTTATACAATTATTTTTCTTAAAGGTTTATTAATTTCACCGAAAAATATTGTTAGATATGAGAAATATCAACATTTTTTGTTGATCTGGTCTTTATTATTTGTAGCGAAATCCGTCAGCTCAACTTTTTTTTTGTAGAAAAACTTTTTTTATTTACTGTAAAGTTTATATTTTCATATATTAACAATTTTGTTTATCTCGCAGATTTCTTAGTTTCACGAAGAAAAAAAATATTTAAAAACAAAAGAGATATTTATAACACTTTTTGTCGATCATTTCAGTATAATCAAAGCGTACATCGGCGAATGTGAAATCCGTCCGGTCAACTTTATTTTTTAGAAAAACATTTTGTTTTACTATGAAGTTTAAATTTTCATATAAGATAACTATTAATCTCGCAGATTTCTTAGTTGTATGAAAAAATATTGTAAAACAAAAGAGATATTACTAGTAACACTTTTTGTCGATCAGTTCAATATTGTAAAGCGTACATCAGTGAGTGTGAAATCCGTCCGGTCAACTTTTTTTTGTTAGATTTTCATAAAATATAGTCTAATATTTCTAAGGTCTTCAAATATTAAAATAATCTATCAAATAACAAAAAAGTTCTGACTATTTATATCTCATCCGGTCAATACCGGGCAATTGTCCTGTCATTAGTGTAACCCAACTGTTGGCAGCGTATTGTCGCGATGCGGTATGTGGGAATATACTGGAAAAAATAACAATATACCAAGAGTAACAGCATGTAAGCGTACAGCTTCCGGAATTTGTAGTTTTCTGTCCAACAGAGGGATGTAAATAAGAACAATGAGTTTCGATGTTCCTTTGGTATCAAACGCCTCTCTCTCTCTCTCTCTCTCTCTGTTTCTTTTTTTTTTTGGAAGTGGGGTATGGGGGAACAAACACATGAACACAAATGATTCGTAGAGTAATCATATTTGTTGAAATATCAAACGTTATTTAAGAATAACGCCAGTTAAACATCACTGTAAAAGAAGCATACAAAATTTTACATCGGTTGCTGGCTGTCGAAATCAAATAAAATTTAGCACCGTATTATATAGTACATTATACGCAATTTTCCTTTTATGCTTTGTACAGGCTTACATAATTTGGGCACAAAAAAAAAAATCATATTTTGTAGTATTTCTTCAAACTGTCAATTATAGCGAACTGTACGACCAGCAAGTTAAAAAATAAGGCCACTAGACGTCAGAGCAATCTGGGAATATCAAACACTATGCCTAGTTATTTTTGTACTATTGATGACCGTACTACCTACAACAACAACAAAAAATCCACACTGTATATTTGGCTTTACAAGACTCCAACAAGAGAAATATTTAACACACACACATGTATTTATGTAGAGTAACATGTCTTTCAGAGTGCTAATCTGTAACCATCATATTAAGGTCCGTCTTGTGAAAGAGTATTCATCTCATATAGAAAAAATTTTGTTCTGATATTCATGTAATATTTGCCACTGAAAGTTTTGCAAAAATCAAGAAAAAAACGAAAACAAAAACAAAACAAAGACTAGTAATTAAGATGTAGGTTCGTGTTTAGATCACTCAATGTGATCACTTGCCTGTCAAGAAACAGTGATATAGGGAGATTGTCAGATTCCGATCATGACTGTAAAGGACAACCATTTGTTTAATACAAAGGTAGCTGATTTACTCTTGATACCTTGGTTCTTTAGAAAAAAAACGGCCAACATGATATAGCAGAGTGCTGAAAGTGGCACACACAATCAATCAGTTATTTTCAAATTACCTATCATTAATTAGTTTTGGCAAAAAAAGTATAAAGGCTATACCATACTGAAACATAAATGTGATAAAAGAATATACAATTCAAGAAAGAGAGGTGCACCAACAGAAAATAGAAACTGCAATCTTTCTTTTAATTTCATACGATCTCAGATCACAAAATTTTAACTCTTACCAGAATTTATTCTATCTTACAGTATAACTCTGAAGTTTCTAAGTGGAACTCGAGCTTTAACTAGAACTCTTACTCGAATAAACATTCGAACTAAAAATAAAACTGGAACTTTAACTCTAAATTTAGCTGGAACTCGAATTCTTATTCTACATCAAAGGTTATCTACACTCTCATTTGTCATCTGATAAAAAAATTCGTAAGGGTTCCACGGAACCCAGTGTCTCGCCTACTTTTGCTGTTAATCGCAGGCTCAACAAAAATGAGGAAAAAAATCAATAAAAATATTCCTCTCGATACTATCTTTTGATTATAAGAAGTTTCTGTCCAAGTTTGGTTTAAATCTAGGATAGTTTATGGATCTAATAAATGTTTTAAAAACTTTAACTGCATACTGTATGTAATGTTAACTGGAAGAAAAACTAAGTCCATTTATAAGTAAAATACGGATAAACAGGTACAAAATTTTGACAATTTTCGAGATACAAGCTTTAAATTTGATCATAAACAAGCTTCTGTCCAAGTTTGGTACATATCCAGGATAGTTTAAGAAAGTTATTGAAATCTTAAAAACTTTTAACCACAGAGTGAATGTATTGTTTCCTGGCAGAAAAACTAAGTCAATTTATAAGTAAAATACGGAAAAAAATTTTTTTTTTACAAAATTTACTTCTGGATACTATCTTATGATCATAAACAAGCTTCTGACAAAGTTTGGTACAAATCCAGGATAGTTTAAGAAAGTTATTAAAAATTTAAAAACTCTAACCACAGAGTAAATGTATTGTTTCCTGGCAGAAAAACTAAGTCCATTTATAAGTCAAATATGGAAAAACAGGAATTTTATTTTTACAAAATTTACTTCTGGATACTATCTTATGATCATAAACAAGCTTCTGTCCAAGTTTGGTAGAAATCCAGGATAGTTTAAGAAAGTTATTAAAACTTCAAAAACTTTAACCACATAGTGAATATTTGTGGACGCCGCCGCCGCTGACGACGACGACGCCGACGACGGAATGTAGGATCGCTATGTCTCGCTTTTTCGACTAAAGTCGAAGGCTCGACAAAAAACTAGAGTTAGATAAAATATATCGATATTTCCACAGAAACACGGATAGATGTAGCAGAACAAGAAAAAAAACTAGATCCGTTTATGACAAATTAAAGGATTTTTTTAAATACATCAACTGGGAACATTATATGTTCCTGATATCAATATGGCGATGTGTATTTCATTGTCAATTAACTCTAAATTATCAGATGCATTGTATTTCTCATAACATACCAACGTTGAGCGATTAATCGAACGGTAATAAAATATACGTAATACATAAAGTTTTAATACACAGGCGATGAACATTGAACATATTATGTACAATGAACATGCAACGATGTATGAAAAATGGGTGCGGGATGATAGAACTCAGAAAAAAATTTGGTTTCCACAGTTCGAATAAATTATGAAGCGTTGTGTAATTACGGAACCAATTTTAAATTCCTACCGAAAATAGGTTTCTTTTAACGTGCTGAGTTTGTGGCATTTTTAACACGGCATTTCAGGTTTTATCTTCCCGGTGCGAATGGACAAGCTAGTGAAATTATGGTTACGAAATTTTTCTGCCTGCAGTCTAAAAGGAACGTGTTACTTTTCAGCCCTTCAGTCTTCCGAGGTAGAAGATTCTTTTTCTGGAAGCCGAAAATTATTTCTATAATACGACATGAGGCAAACATTCGTTTTCCACATACAACAAATGCAATTTAAAAAATGAGATGACTTCAACTTTGACAATTACTTTATAATAAACTGTTCAGTATTGTATCTATGTTTAACGATTCGATAGATTGATAAAGATATCAATGAATAATCAAAATACCTTAAAAAATGTTCAAAAATGATATTATATTTTGTAGTGAAAAGGTTTAATTCAACCTAAGCGTTGCAAGAAATGCTGTTATGCCAGCAACGTCGTTCTATAACGTTAAAAGGTTATAGTTCCCGCCAAAATTCAATAATAAAGATCATTTCCGTTTTAGCGGATTTAAAACATCGGTGACCCCCCTTTTTTATTTATGCTTTTAAAATCTTCCCTGAAGCTGCAACTTATGCAGAAGTTTGAAGGGAAAAACATTAGTAGATTTTTTTTATTTCAAGAAAAATCTATTATAAATAGCAATTAAAAATGGCGGGAAATGTTCAAATGCCTTCAAAAATAAGGAAACCGAGACAAATAAATGTTCATAAGGTATAAGTTACATTTGACTGTTTTTGTTATTCCAGTTAAACATGGTTTTTCAATAAGTTTGTCTTTTTCTAACAATTTAGAGCGGTATTTCTATATTTCGTTATAACGCTATTCTTTAAGTTTTGATGACGTCATATCTCGAAAACAACATCGGTGACCTTAAATTTTTTTTCACCTAAAATATCTTAATATGTATGATCTGTCTACATGCAAAATTTCAATGAATTATTATTAGTAGTATA